CCCAGGTTTAATTTCCAGCATCCCCTGAGCACCGCCAGGAGTAACTCCTGAGTGCAGAGCCAGGAGTAACCCCTGTGCATCGCCGGGTGTGACCCAAAAAGAAAAAAAAAAGTTCTCTTTAGAGGCCAGAGAGATAGGCCAACCAAGGTTTGATACCTGGCGCCTCAGGTGATCACCCAAGTCCGCTAGGAGTAATCCCTGAAAACCACCAGGTGTGGTCCTCAAACCAAAACCACCAAATGAAAACATGTTCTCTTTAGGAGCTGAAGAGATAGTATAGCGAGTAGGCCATTTGCTTTGCACACAGCTGACCTGAGTTCAATCCTTAGCACCACATATGATCACCTGAGTCTCGCCAAGAGGAATCGCTGAGCAACATAAGGGCGTTGCTTAAAAATAAAAACAAAAACAAATCAGGGCTAGATCTATAGGACAGCAGGAGAGAACACACAGCCAACCTAGCTTTTTTTTTTTTTTTTTTTTTTGCTTTTTTTTGGGTCACACGCTTGGTATGCTCAAGGGTTACTCCTGGCTCTGCACTTAGGAATTACTCCTGGCAGTGCTCAAGGGGCCATATTGAAAGCCAAGGATTGAACCCAGGTTGGCTGCCTGCAAGAAAAACACGCTACGCACTGTACTATTGCTCCAACCCCAGCCAACCTGGTTTTCATCTCCAACACCACATCCAGTCCCTGGAGCCCTGCAAAGAGTGTTCCCTGAGCACAGAGCTCAGGAGTGATCCTGAAGTGTGTCACCCCCAAACCAAAACAAACAAACAAAAACACAAATAAAACCCATTATTATTTTTTTATTAGTGAAACACCATGAGATACAGTTGTAGACTTACAAACTTTCATGCTTGGGCTTCAGTTATACAAAGATTGAGTACCCATCCCTCCACCAGTGCCCATTCTCCACCACCATGGATCCCAGTTGCCCTCCCACCCCACCACCCTATCCCCCCACCCCACCCCGCCTTTGTGGCAGGGCATTCCCTTTTGCTCTCTCTTTCCTTTAGGGTGTTGTGGTAAAACCCATTTTTTTTTATTATTATTAGTTAAACACCATGAGGTACAGTTGTAGATTTACAATTTTTTGTGCTTGGGTTTCGATTATACAATGATCAGATACCCATCCCTCCACCAGTGCCCATTTTCCACCACCATGGATAATATCCCCCCCACCCCCATACCCCCCATCCCACCCTGCCTCTGTGGCAGGGCAATCCCTTGTGTTGTCTCTCTCCCTTTGGGTGTTGTGATCTGCAAAAGAGGCATTGAGTGGCAAACATGTTCAGTCCATAGTCTACTTTCGACATGCATGTCCCCAAAACCCATTATTTTTAAAATTTTTCAGCTCAGCAAGATGGAGTACAGCCAGGAGTGACCCCTGAGCACTGAGCCAAGAATAGTTCCTGAGCACCACCAGTATAATTCAAAATTTAGCACTGTAGCACTGTCCTCCCATTGTTCATCGATTTTCTCGAGCGGGTACCAGTAACATCTCTATTGTGAGACTTGTTCTTACTGTTTTTGTCATCTCGAATATGCCACAGAGAGCTTGCTAGCCTCTGCCTAGTACTTCTTACTAATATTACTACTCATTTTGTATGAATACAGTAAGAAATATTAAGTTTAAAGGGTGACTCTCCCTAAGGGACATCTCGCTATATATCCCCGATTACAGTTCTCAAGGATAGGTTAGTCTTTCCTAACCCCAGCAGGGTCCTTATTAAGTTAGTTTTTTTGGGTTATGATAGTTTGTCCATGACCATGCTCTTAACTTATTATAAGCTGTATGGCTCTTGGCCTGTCCCTTTGCAATGACAGGGTAGTTTACAGCTTGCCCTAGGTCCATCCAAGTCCCTCGCCGGAACCCTCCTTTTGGGGGTGTTAAGAAGGGCGGGGGCTGGAGCAATAGCACAGTGGGTAGGGCGTCTGCCTTGCACACAGCCGATCCGGGTTCGGTTCCCAGCATCCCGTATGGTCCGCCGAGCACCACCAGGGGTAATTCCTGAGTGCAGAGCCAGGAGTAACCCCTGTGCATCGCCAGGTGTGACCCAAAAAGCAAAAAAAAAAAAGAGAGAAGTAAGGGCAATGGAGGCTTAAATCAAGTAAATATGATAAATATGATAGATGCCCAGGGAGGTAAATATTATTTAGTCAATTATCACTCCAATGTTACAAAAGTGTAGCATTAACTGTCTTCCTTTGTCTATACAAAAAAAGGACATTGCTAAACCATGCAAAGGACATAAAAAAGAAAAGCAATATAGAATTATTAGTGCCTGATGGAATTGGGTGTGCCTCAGGAGCACTGTGATGGGAGTAACTCAATAAACCTAATATTCTGGTGACAGGGGTGCAGGGATGGGGAAAGGACAAACCGATGTTATCCAAAGGCACCCTATCCACCATACTATCTCTCCAGCCCCTCACACTTTGTTTTGACTACTTGCATTCAAAGATTTTTTTAGTTTGTTAAAACTTTATTATAGTAAAGGTAATATATTTACAATGGTGTTGCCATACACAGTCTTTTTTTTTGGGGGGGGTCACACCTGGCGATGCACAGGGGTTACTCCTGGCTCTGCACTCAGGAGTTACTCCTGGCGGTGCTCAGGGGACCATATGGGATGCTGGGAATCGAACCCGGGTCAGCCACATGCAAGGCAAACGCCCTACCCGCTCTGCTATCGCTCCAGCCCCGCCATACACAGTCTTGATGTAACCAATTAACCTCACTTCACCACGACCGAAATGCCCAAGACCTTTAGTTCAGGCCTTTTTGATGTGAAGTAATATATTTTAATGTATAGACAAATGTGATGAATTATTCATTCACCTTGATATTAAATGCTGATGAATGTTCAGATTGCGGTTTCTGCTATTATAAGTAGAGCTGATAGAAATGTTCAAGTATGTGTGTTGTATGTTTTCATTTCTCATAGGTAAATACTTAGGGCTGGGATTAGCTAACCTAAACTGGGTTGTATGATAATATATAACATAAATCGAAATGTTTTGGTGCTTTTTTGGTTTTGAGGAGGCCCAGAGGCCCCTTCCTGTCCAATCAGTCCAGTGGCTTCTTATGTACGGGTATGAGGTTACAGTGCTGCTTGGGCCCTACTGTGTTGGGAATTATCTGGGTCACCCCAGCAGTGCTCAGAAACATGTGGGTCAACCAGCTGTACCATGTGGACCATGTGGTGCCAGGGATCAAAATGGAGTTGGCTGCATGTGAGAAATACTCCATAACTCCTAATTAAAAAAAAAAAAAAAGCTGGGGCTGGAGCAATAGCACAGCGGGTAGGGCGTTTGCCTTGCATGAAGCCGACCCGGGTTCGATTCCCAGCATCCCATATGGTCCCCCGAGCACCGCCAGGAGTAATTCCTGAGTGCAGAGCCAGGAGTAACCTCTGAGCATCGCCGGGTGTGATCCTAAAAGCAAAAAAAAAAAAAAAGCTGAACTATTTTCCAAAGTGATTGTGACATTTTACCTTCATCCACAATCCTCTTCAACACTAAGTACTGTGACACTATTTACTGTGACATCCTTATTAGAGTTAACACTTCGTTGTGGTTTTAACTTGCATGTTCTCTAATGATAAAAGATGTTAAGAACCTTTTCATGGAGCTGGAGAAATACTACAGTGGGGAAGGTGCTTGCCTTGCCCACAGCTGATTTGGGTTTGATCCCCATACCCCTATATGTTCCCCAAGCCCACCAAGAATGAACCCTGAGCACAGAACAAGGAGTAAGCCGTGGGCACTGCCAGATACGTCCCCCGCCAAAAAAAACATTGTCATGTGCTTGTTATTTCCATATCTTCTTTCACGAGGTATCTATTCAAATTCACCCCTTTTGATTGAACACCAAGTCAGTCCATGCAAGGTGTGTGCCATTCCTGCTGCACTATTACTCCACCCAAATTTGTCCATTTTTTGGTATTGGTGGATGTGGACATACCTGAAGGTGCTCAGGGGCTATTTCTGGCTCTGTGCTCAGGAGTGACCTCCAGCAGTGCTCAGGGAACCATATGTGGTGCCAGAGATTTGAACCATTGTCGTAGCGACCACAGTTGTGTATAAGAAAAGTGTACTTCCTGTACTCTCTTTCTGGTTCCATATCTCCCCATTTAAAAGGCTGGATTGTGGGCTGGAGCGATAGCACAGCGGGTAGGGCGTTTGCCTTGCACGCGGCCGACCTGGATTCAATTCCCAGCATCCCAAAGGGTCCCCTGAGCACCACCAGGAGTAATTCCTGAGCACAGAGCCAGGAGTGACGCCTGTGCATTGCCGGGTGTGACCCAAAAAGCAAAAAAAAAAAAGGCTGGATTGTTTTTCTTATTGAAATGTAATGTTTATTCAGAATAAGTACTTTATCAGACATATTTTGCTAATAATTTTTTTTATCAGTGACTTCTATTTCTTCCTTTCTCCCTCTCTTTTTTTCAGTGTGGGTGGGGGAGTAGCCCAAAAACAAAAACAAATCTCGGGGCAGTGAGATAGCTCAAAGGGTATGTATGTTTTGCATGCAGGAAGCCTAGGTTTGATCCCTGACACCACCATGTGGTCCCCAAGCACTGCTGGGAGTGAACCCCTCCCAACCCCAGCACTTCTGGGTGTAGCTCAAAAACAAGCTAGAGCAGGCCAGAGCAATACCACAGCAGCCCAGCTGGGTTCAATCCCCAGCATCCCATATGGTCCCCTGAGCCCACCAGGAGTGATTGCCGAGTGCAAAACCAGGAGTTACCCCTGAGAATTGCCGGATGTGACCCAAAAAGTAAAAGAGAAAAAATCCTTCAAATTGATGATGTCACTGGAGAAAAGGAGGTCAGTTAGAACCTGACATCTGGCAGTTACTGCTGGGAGCTGTGGCTAGGCAGAGAATTCTCAGGAGCTACCCAGGATCCCTACCACTGAAGCAGCCAATACTGTGTGTTTCTAGGACTGTGTACTAGAAACACCGGGCATCTTGGTGACTGACAGTGATCCAAAATGGAGAAAGATGACTCCTCACACTTACTGACACCCGAGTCAGCGAAAGCCATCATCTCAAGGATTCAGACTGCCCAGCTAACTCGGGCTCGGGAGGTAAATCCAGTGGAGAGGAAGTCACCCTTCTAACCAGGGTCTGAAGTGGGGGCTAGGACTCAATTTAGGTTGGCTGGTTGGTTTTTGTCATACTGGTGATGCTCAGGGACTATTCCCAGCTCTGTTCTTGGAGCTCCCCAAGCAGTACTTGGGAGACCACATGTGGTACAAGTGCTTGGGGTTCAAACCCAGGCATCTTGCATGCAAAGCATATGCTTCTGTCAATTGAGTTGTCTCCTTGGCCCCTCAATCTAGGTTTGTTCAAGATTCTATCTGAACCCTTGGGAGTCCTGAGATCCTCTTCAAACTGGGTTTCAGATAGATCAGTGCTAATATCCACCTCCTCCACACACCTCCAGAGTGGGGCTGGATCAGGGAAGGAGCAGCCACTGGAAACATCATAGGACTCTGAGATTCAGGGGCTAGTGCTCAGGATTCAGGATGTATTCTTGGTGACCTACAAGAAAACCCCAAGCTATTGGAGTCCTAAAGCTCCAAGGGAAATAATCAAAAGCTAGAATCATCCAGCACATCTGATTTCAGCACATTTTAAAATGAGAGAGAGAGAGAGAGAGAGAGAGAGAAGAAAAGAGAAAAGTATCTATCATAGAGGCAGATTGGGGGTGGGGTGTGGAAGGAGAAAAACTGGGGACATTGGCTGTAGAAAATATATAAATCTATACTGGTAAAGAGATAGGTATTGGAACATTGTATGACTGAAACCCAGTCATGGAAAACTTTGTAACTGTTTATCTCACAGTGATTTAATAAAAATTTTTTCAAAAGTAACCACCACCACCACCTAAACTTCTTTTTTTTTGGCTTTTTGGGTCACACCTGGCGATGCACAGGGGTTACTCCTGGCTCTGCACTCAGGAATTACTCCTGGCGGCGCTCAGGTGACCATATGGGATGCTGGGAATCGAATCCCAGTTGGCCGCGTGCAAGGCAAACCCCCTACCCGCTGTGCTATTGCTCCAGCTCCAACCACCTAAACCTTTAATCCTATGCGTTTCTTGGGGCCTCCTTTTTTCCAAGTCTTGTTACCTTGTGAAGAGATGTGCCCAGAAGTACCCAGCAAATTTTTAATTTCTGGAGAAATGCTCGTGGTATATACTTAATATTCACTCTCTTCCTAATCTGATCTTAATATCCAAAGTGACAGTAATAAGAGCCACTACTAATTCATTGATCTTTTTTAAAAACAAACCTATGACGTTGGTACTATTATAATCATCCCCACATCTTTTTTTTCTGGTTTTGGGGCCACACCCAACAGTTTTAGATTGGAGTAGGAGTGGGGACCATATAGCGCAGGGGATGGATGGGCTTGCGCATGGAAAGCACGTGCTCCAACCCATTCAGTCATCTCCCCAGTCCTAATCATCCTCACTTTACAAATAAGAAAACTGAGGCCCTACGACGTGTCTGGCTTGTCTAAGATCACACTGCAGGACATAGTGTTCAGAGCCCACACCCCTAAATACTACAAACTGCTCCTTCCCATACAGAATATTTCTTCGGAGCTCTCAAACATCTTGGACAATGTCAACAGTGTCATCAGTCGCTTCCAGAAAGAATTAGGATATGACTTAGGAGAAAAGTCTGAATCTCACCATCTGGTGGAAAAAGGCAAAAACAGATTCATCTTATTGGAAAAAATTACCTCCTTGTCCACAGATGCTAAGACAAAAGAGAAGCACTTGTATGAAATTCTCCACTGGCTGGGTGACTGGGGTGAGTCCTAGGGGTGCTGCCTTCCTCACTACCATGATTCTTTTTACTACCAGTCTTCACTAAGAAGGGTGTGTGGGGTGCTGGGTACAGGGGGAGCAAAAAACACTGTGGTCCTCTCCAGTGATGCATTCTCCCACTCACATCACAACACTCCATGTTTATTCCCAGAGGACAAACATGTAATTGTTCCCCACATTAATGACCCTGATATTAACTACTATAATGAAGTCTACATCACTGGTCCATTATGACATCTCATTTATTAGCAAGATAGAAACAAAATTAAATTTTACACTAGTAGGCCAAAGAGACAGTACCGTGGGTAAGGAAGGCACTTGGCCAACCCTGGCTCTATCCCTGGCTCCACATATGGTCGCCTAAGTTCTGCCAGGAGTGACCCCTGAGCACAGAGCCAAGAGTAAGCCCTGAGTACCACCTGGTGTGATCCCCAAACACGTCCATACTAGCTAAAGCAAGTCCATGTATGCAGGAGTTACTTTTGGCTCTGTGCTCAGTAATTACTCCTGGTGGGGCTTGGGGTACCTTAAGGGATGCTAGGGATTGAACTTGGGTCAGTTGCATGCAAGGCAAGCATTTTACCCATTGTACTATTCCTCTGGCCCATTCCTAAGTATTTTTAATTGTTTTTTATGCTATGATAAGTGGAACTGATTTCTTTGGGGCAGGCAGGGTTTGCGGACTAAACAGTGCTTGGGGACAACTCCCAGTTCTGTGGTTCAACTGTGATTCTGAGGATGCAGAGAAAGCTTTAGCCCCCATATTATATCTTCAGCCCTCTTTATCTCCTTTTTCAGATAGCTAATTGCTACTATATGAAAATGCAACACTTTTTTTTTCTTTCTCCCCCACTCCCTTCATGCTGGGGGTTGAACCCAGGACCTCACACACGCAAGGCCAGTGCTCTAGCACTGAACTATATTCCCACTAAAACTGTTTTGGGTTTTTGGTTTTGGTTTTGGTTTTTTGAGGTGGGGCATACACAGTGATGTCTGGACTAATCCTAGCTCTGTATCTGGGGGTCACATCTCTTAGTGCTTGGGGACCCTGCGGAGCCAGGGATTAAGCCTAAGCCTCTTGCATGCAAAGCTCACTGAGCTTTCTGGCCAGCATCTGGTTTTTGAATGTTGATTTTACATCCTGCAACTTTACTGAATGAATCAGTTCTAACAGTTTTTGGTGACACTATTGTTTAAGGAATCCACAGGTGGTATTCAAAGTACCAAATGATGGTCATGTTATGGGCACTCGACCAAACAACAAAGCTGTCAGTTGTAAGCTCCTGGGTATAGACTGGCTATGCACGGCTTGGGCGCTACCACTGACCAACTCCGAGTCATCCCGTCACAGGACCTCGGTCTGCTGTGTGCTGTGGCAGGCGCTGAAATGATGGAGGAAGGGGGTGAGAATGTGTGCCTCACCCTTGCACACGCCCCCCCAGGACTCTTGGTTCGATGATCTGCCGTGGCCCCAAAACTGAGCGAAACTTTTGACACCAGTTGATTTACGTAATTGACCAGCTATGCATGAGGCAAGGAGATAGAGAAAGAAAAAGGCAGACATATCCCTATCAACAATGTTATTTAATGTTATTATTTAATACATATCTTTTTTCCTTACAAGGTCTGATGTTAATCATGTTAATCTTGTCACATGTTTTCATTTCATTCTCACCCAACATGGCAGGGGGGTGAAGCTCAGTGGTTATGCACTCGCCTTGCATCTGTGAGACCCTTGTTAGATCCCTGAGACTGAAAATAATAACAATAATAATAATAAAGAAGAGAAAAGAAAAAAAGGATGGGGCCAGAGAGATAGTACAAGGGTCCAGGCACTTGCCTAGCATGGAACCAACCCTAATCTGATTTGATATCCGGCACTGGATGGGTTCTGCCAAGCACCACCAGTACTCTCTGAGCACAGAGCAGGAGAAGGCCCTCAGCACAGCTGGGTGTGGCCTCCCACACAAACAAAATCCTCACCCAAGCCTTTACCAGGCAAGGATAGTGAGGATTGGGGTAATCAGTGAGTTGTTCAACTCTACACAGCATAAGAGGTGAAACCAATCTTCTATCACAGCTGCTGGTATGAATCCTGTCCTATAGGATGGCTTGGGGCTTTCCAGAGGACAGATTCTTCTCCATCTACACCACCTACCTGCCTCTCCAGGTGACAGTCTGACCTATGAAATCAGAAACAGGAAGAATGAGAAAGATGAGGAATCCCAGGATGAATGGATTGAAGTGATAGAGAAAATGTTACCGCTTTCCCTCATTGCCACCAAAGGAGGCATCGAGTCTCTCATTTCCCTTTGCTCTACTCTCATTGAAGGAGAAAGGAAAAGAGCACAAAGTAGGTTCCCGGAGCACGTGAGGTTGGGGTGGGGGGCTGGGTATGATGGACGCCACCTCTGGAGAAAAAGTACATGCAGGGTCCACGGGGGTGTTCTGACTCTCCTTCCTGACAAGAGCTTGATCTGAGATGGATGGGCAGAGGGCACGGGTTGGGATGTTAAGTTCCAACTGAGTCCTGAGTAGTTCTGAGATATCCTTCTGGGATGGCCAGAGGGTGGTGATAAAGTTTTTTCTGGAGCGATGGCTCATGCCTCTATGGGATCAGAAAGACCGTAGGTTGTAGCTAGATTCAAAGACGATTTTTACCACAAACCCAGCTGTAGAGCTAAAAAGTTTGGTGAGGGTAAGCCTGAGGTCCTTCCAGATCCTTCATGGTTATGGCTACTCCAAGGATTAGGCTTCCAACAACATAATTTATGCTTAAAATTTTATATATTGTTTATTTTTAGGAATGAGTTTTTGAGCACTTACCTAATACCTCATATGGTGCTTAATGTTAAATATGCATGATCTATTTAAGGTCTATTAAGTGGACACTACTTAATGGAGATACTTTCTCTGTTATTTCAGAAACAGGGAAAAGGAAGTTAGGAAACACTCAAACCAAGTGATAAGAGTGGGATTCAACTACAAGTTATCTGGTTCCAGAATCCAAGCACTGAACCCTGGGTCATATGGTCTCACTAACATTATCTAGAAGCAAGCTTGACTTCAATATCATTTTGATTGACATATTTCTTCTAGCCCCCTCCCCTCCCAGATGGGCAATTTGTTTTCTGTTACTGATATTGGTTGAATGGACAAATGAATGGATGCCACACCAGTCCAATATGCATAGAATGATACCTAAGTGATACAGCTACAATTATGACCCAGTACTACGGCACTTAAGTTGATGAATGGGTTTGAACACAGAATACACAATGTATGTTTGCATGTATTTTCTAGGGAGAAGTCCCCTTATTTTCATCAAATATCAAGAGTAGTTGATGACCTCTTCAAAGATAAAAAGTTACTGAGTTTTGAGGATTTTTTGAGGGGTAGTCTCACAGCACAGCAGCTAGGGTGTTTGCCTTGCACATGGCCAACCCGGGTTCGATTCCTCTGCCCCTCTCTAAGAGCCCAACAAGCTACCGAGAGTATCTCGCCCGCACGGCAAAGCCTGGCAAGTTACCCATGATGTACGCGATATGCCAAACACAGTAACAACTAGTCTCACAATTTGTAGTGAGATGTTACTGATGGCCACTCGAGCAAATCGATGAACAACGGGAGGACAGTGCTGCAGTTCTATAGTCTCACAGAAGTGCTCAGGAGCCCAAGAGCACCCCCAGAGATGCTCAGCCCTGCTGTGTAGGCATGACTAGTACTTGGGCCCAGCATGTGATATTGTTAAGAGTGGTGAAGGGCACCCAGGCCACAGCCAGCTGTACTTGGTGGGGTTAAGAAGGAGGTTGATGCCGTGCTGGGGACTGACTCTGTCACGAGAGGAATACACTCCAGCTCTTTGAGCTGTCTTCCCAACCTCTATTTATTGGTTTTTGTTTTTATTTTTCTTTTGTAAGTATGTTGATAGCTGCAAGACATGTGATGCAAACAGCTACAAACACAGTCTGGTGATACGGGGAATAAAGCTTCCCAGCTGGTTCTAGGTATGCTGGTGTCTAAGTGCTAAGTAGGTTTCTGCACTACTCCAGTAGTCAGCCAAACACAGACAGTGAGTCTGCGAAGCAGCAAGACCAGAAAAATAACTGTCTCCGAAGATCAGGAGTTTGCTGAGTTGAACTGAACTCTATTGAGAGCATCCAGGGCCTCTGGCCTATAGATGCTATGGAGCAGATCCTGGTGGGTGGGCTCTGGACAAGTTGTGAGCAGAGCAGAGATCTCCCTGACTACATCTTGTCTCCACTTCTAGTGCCCAAATACACCTTCTGGCAGGGATGGCAGGAAAGAGATCAACAAACATCAACATCTTCCTCTCAGCCACTGAGTCCACAGCAGATGTTCCAGGACAAACACACCATCTGCACCAGGGCGTCTGAGGTGAAGTCCATGCTGCAGGAGCTCCTGGACTCGGCCATGTTCAGCACAGGAGAGGTCAGGGCCATAAGGTACATATCCTCTGTGGTGGAAGACCTCAGCAACGCCTTGATCCTACAGCATGAGGAGAACAAGAGCCTGGAGACAAAATACAGATGCCTGAAAACAGAGATGGTTCAAGAAGTCAGTAGCCAGAGGCTGAAGTTCCAGAAGTCTCTCCAAACCCTTGAGACGGAAAGAGATGCCCTACTAAAGCAGGTAGAAATTCTTGGGAAAAAGTGCCATGAACTATCCCTGATAAACCATAGTCTAGAGTACAAGTTGAAAGAGGCGGAGGTTGCTGTAAGTCAAGCAAAAGACTCAGCCATGATCTCAGATGACTCTTCAGACTCCCCTGAAGAAAAGACCCCCCCAGAGGAAAAATCAGTCATGGCGGAAACCAAACAGGAACACGAAGAGGAGGAGCGACTGTTTTTGTCACTTGCCCAAATTGACATGGACTGGGATTCACAACCTTCATCATATCAGTCACTCCCCACCATGACCACAAATCCAGAGATTGTGGATTTGATCAGCAGCAAGGACACCCAAATTCTTGGGCCCAAGTTGCTGTCCTCAGGAAAAAGCCCAGACCACAGAGACACAAACCAGAGGGGCTTCTTGCAGGAAGCATCCCCGGAGAAGGAAGATCTGCAAAATCAGCTTCGTTTCAGTGAGCAGCAAGCTCCAGAGAGCTTCGAGAAGGAAGTGGACCAGAGCACTTGGATGGAGCACTGGGAAGAGAAACTCAGCTGGCAGAAGCCGAAGCAGCAGTGGCTGCAGGAGGAGGAGTTGTGGCAGCAGCAGCAGAAAACGTGGACCCTGCTGGAGCAGGAGCACGAGGAGAGTCTGCAGCAGGGGACGCCGGAGGAGGTTCCCGAGGAGAATGTGGTCCAGGGGCTGAAGGAGCAAAAGAGCCCAAGGAAGGAACCAAAAGGAGACGTGAAGAGGAAGCTGATTGTGATCAGCGGTCAAGGGAAGTTCTCAAAGGGAGAGGCACCACTCACAGCTCCCCCGAGCCAGACCCAATCTCTTCAGCAGCGCAGGAGGCCACACCTGCCCAGGCCCCCTTGTGCTCAGCCCATCACCCCCAGAAGCCAAAGGACAGTGAGTTCAGCTGAATTTAATCAGAAACCTGCGACCCACAAGGTTTGCACAAAGCCCAGGAAATCAGCCACCTCTCCAGCCTTGGGACTGTCCCTCCACAAGAGGTCCCAGTCCCCTTTGCACATATCCCCAGCCCCTCTGAAGGCAAAGGTGTACCACATGGCTGCCAAGGCCCTGAGAAAGAACCTGCGGCTCCTTCTGGGGAATGGCAACTCGGGGCTGCCTGCCCCCCTGCGCAGCAAGGCTCTGGAACTCACCACCACCACCATGGAGCTGAGCCTGCTCAGGCTGCAGTATCTGTGCCTCAAGTACATCCGCTACAGATGCATCCAGAGTCTCCGGTATGTCCGCCCTGGGACTCACCGGCACCTGGACCCACCGCTGGGTGTGGGCAAAGCCAAAACCAAGGGTGGGACTAGCCCCGGACACCAGGGAGAACAACCGGGCCCAGGTTCTTCCTGTTGCGAGCCCAACCCTGGGGCTCCTTACCAGGTACCCACCCCCCCCCGCTTCCCACCTGTTTGTCCCAGTTACATTCACCTCCCTTTCTCCTCTTGTTTCCAGGAATTATGGAGCTACCTCGGTTTTGATTTTTTTGTGCCACACCTGGATGTATTCAGTGCCAATTCCTGGCTCTGTGCTCAGGGATTACTCCTGGTTGTGCTCAAGGGACCAAATCTGGAGCAGGGTTTCAAACCCAGGTTGGCTGCCTACAAGGCATATAAGGCCTTAGCCACTGTGCACTATCTCTCTGGCCCGAGTCATTTTTGGTTAACAGACTTGGGGGAGTAGCAGTCCCCTTCATCCACTAAAGCCCTTCTGTCTCTTCCCAGGCAAGAGATGATCAACCACATACAAGACATGCAAAAAACCAGAACTCCCTGCCAGGCCCAGAACCTCTCCATCTTCCTGGAGAACATCAACAGCCTGCAGAATCTTAAAATGCAGGCCTGGACAGACAGGCAGAAGGCTGTAGAGGAGAAGTACCAAGAGTGTCTGAGCAACATGATGACGTTGTTCCCCAAGGTGGGTTTCCTGCTCAGCCACCTTCTTGGGGACCCACACAGACAGGACGGGGGGGTGGTGGAGGGAGCCTGTGGGGGTGACTGGGGTGAGAAAGTAGATGGGATGGAAGGAAGAAAGTCCAGCCTCTGAACTGGGAAGAGGGCTGAGTTGGAGACCCCAGGGGAAGGGCAGCTTTACTATGTCCTTAATGGAGACAACAAGAAACAGAACCTTTGGGTCAGCGATATGGCTCAGTGAGAAAGTGCATGTAGAGAGAAGAGAGCAAGGGACCAGAGCGATAGCAGAGCGGGTAGGCGAGTAGGGCATTTGCCTTGCACGCAGCTGACCCGGGTTCGATCCTTGGCATTCCATGTAGGTCCCCCAAGCACCGCCAGGAGTAATTCCTGAGTGCAGAGCCAGGAGTGACCCCTGAGCACCACTGGGTGTGACCCAAAAGGCAAAAAACAAAACAAAAACTTAAAAAGAAAGAGAGAGAGAGAGAGAGAGAGAAGAGAGCAAGAGCGAGAGACAGAGAGAGAGAAAGAGAGAGACAGAAACAGAGACAGAGATATTGGTTTCCACTTTGGCTGAGGGCTGAGGTTCTTCCTCTCTTCCATGGTGTCAGCCCTGTCCTCACCAGCTGTTTTTCTCCAGGTTTGGTGCACAGCTGTGCTCCTCAGTCCAGGGCTGGGGGCTCTTTTGTGCCCTCAGGGAAGTTCCCCTGCTGTCTAGGTTCAAGGGAATTGTTCTAGGGAATGTCTTCTATCACTTCCTCACCAAAGGGGTACCTGGCAAGAATTCACCGAGACCCTGCTTGTCCAAAATAGGGAAGTCTAGGTTTGAATTTATTCTCCTTCAGAGCTGGAAGTCTCTGCTCATGGCATTCTAGGCGTTGGTGTCGCTTTTGAGAGTCCAAGGTCATCCTGAGTCCTGTTCACCGGGGTCTGATGCATTTCACTGAGGGCAGCCTAGTTTCCTCTCCAATGTCCCTTTGCTGCTGGGGATCTCCCCTGGAATCAGACCAAGAGGTGATGACCAAGACATGAGCAGCAGTGCACTGAGTCTGGTGGAAACGGGGCGCTCAGCACTCACTGTGAGTGACAGCAGAGGCAGCTGGAAGGGCCTTGGCAATGGAGATCTCTCCCAAGGCTGCTTCCTTCTACTTACGCCTGTCCTGAGCACCTCCTGTGGGTGTCTTCACTGGCTAAACTGGCTTTGAGTTTGAGAAGGAAAAGAGGCGTAGGACAGTTCTTCAAATGGCTGTGGTCCCCACAGACCCTTGCCTAACGCAGGCCTGGGGATGATGAATGGTGACCCAGAGCGGTCCAAGTACAGCCTGACCCATGTCATCAATGCTGTAGTTTTACCCATTGTCCAACTTCTCCACAACAAAGGACAAAGCAGGAACTAGTCTGCAAGTAAGTCGGGGATGTCTATGAAAAATCTGAGACCCTGGGGGCTCGGGGTGTCCGGCTGGAGTTCTCTGACCTCAGCTCAGCCTTGACTCCCATCTCCTCTCTCTGATGTGGCCCTGCTGTTTTTTTCTCTCTAGCTCCGGCTGGAACGTAACATTCCCCTGCAGCTGCCCAGGATTACATCCCCAAAACTAAGAAAAAACAAGTCATTTCCATCCTTACTCCGGCGCACCCAATCCAGCAATGCTTCCCTCAAGCAATCCTTTACATCCAACTCTCCGGAGAGTGAGTCCCTGCAGAAGGCCTGGTAGGTTTAGGAGGGCAGTGTGGTGGTGGTGGTGGTGGTTGTGTGTGTGTGGGGTGGGGGTAGGTGGAGCTGCATGGGTGGGGAGGTAGGGAGAAGAGGTGGCCAGGCTGGAGAAACTGATGATCAGTAAGGGGGACAGAGTATGTACCCTGGTCCTAGCCTTGGTGCAATGCCCTGTTCATTGTTCAAGTTGTCTGTGTTCTCAGCTGCTCACCTCTCGCCTTGGCTCAGATGAGGGGAGTAGGCACTTTAGGAGACAGTCTGGTCTAATAAGTTTCAACCTATGTGACTGGAAGATTCTGAGGACCCACATCTGTGAGCTTACAACGATTCCCACCTGAGTACTGCTCTGGTGCCTGCTGGACTTGAGCCATCCATATAAACTTGGTTCCTCACAGAATCAAGTCTGACCCTTTCACTGTCAGTTAGAAAGAGTGCTAGGGAATGGAGCGAGTAAAGAGAGTCGGGTGCTGGCCTTGCACATGGTAGACCCACTTTGATCCCCGACACTGTATATTGTCTCCAGAGCACTACCAGGAGTCATCTCTGAACACAGAGCCTGGAATAAGCCCTGAGCACTGCTGGCTGTGGCCCAAAACAAACAGACACACAACAAGATACAGGGTCCTGGGAAGTGGCTCAGCAATCGAGCACCTGCCTCCCATGGCTGAGACTTAGCATTCAATTCCCAGCACGCACACACACATCCTTCAAAGCACACTCCCAGCACCGTGGGGTACAGCCATGATGACTACCGAGCACCACAGTGCCTAAGCAGTGTAGTACTGTTCTGTTGGTACTATGTAGCCTTCAGGACTGTGCTCAGGCCCACATCCAGGCACAGTATCCTGAGGAAAGAGTCCCCAAGCACTTCCACACGTACCCAAAGAGATTTTATGAGCCTCTGAGGAACAGTCGCCCAAACCCACATCTTCACCTACCACAGCAGGCTTGGTTCCAGGCTTCAGCCTCTTGCAACAGCTTCTTAGGTGAAGAGGCTGCAAAGAGGTAAGAGGTAGATTGAAGAGGTGGTGATGAGGCAGTGACAGCCATGAGGAAAGGGAAGAGGACAAGGCAGTGTCTTGGGTCCTGTGGTCCTAGAGAGTTTACTGCTTGTCTCTGTTGTCTCTTTTTACACTTTTGCCCCGATTCCTTAGCAAACAGGGAGACTCTGTGAAGACAGTATGGAAGACTGATGTGGCCTCCTCCAGTTATCTGATAGAAGAAAAGATCCCTACCACATTGCACTGGGAGCAGCTGGGGGGGCACCCGGAGATCCCCCAGCTGTTGACTCTGGACATGCATTCCTGCTACCACAAAAGCTTGATGTGGCTCAAAGCCTGGTAAGGTGCCAGGTTGGGTGACTAGTCTGGATTTAGTAACTAGAGACCTACCCGCTGTAAAATCTTATGCACGCGGAAGGTTGTGTGTTCGCGGGCTCTCTGGACGGCTCTCTCTCACTGACCGTGTTCGGTGCTCTTGAGCCACTGTGTGTGGCCTGGATCGGGACGGCTGTTGGCCAAGGGTAGACAAAGGAAGGAATGAGGGCCAGGCTGGTCGGTATCAATTGTAGTTTATTCAAATCCTCTTCATTCCTGTCTCTCCTCTGCCTCCTCCTCTCCTGGGCCCCAATCTAGAACCCCTTCTCCTCCTGGCTCTGACACTGGATCTCTGGAGCCTGAGCTCTCTCACTTCTGACTCTGCTCTCCGAGCTTACAGTCTTAGTGTATATAGCAATCACATAAGGCAGTGACACAAAGGTGGGTTGAACATCGACAAATCAACAATGAGAGGTAAGACCACTCCTCCAGGAGATTAACTCAAGGATAAAATCTCATCTAAAGAGATTACTCCAGATTACTAGGAGATCTGCTCAAGGGTGGGATCCGAACAAGGGTGTGTTCTTTCCTCAGCTAGTAATCTACTTGAATAGTTGTAGTAAATCTACTTCTAATATTTCTAGCAATGTCATTCTGTGTGAACACAGTAAGACATATAAATATCTCACTATACATTCTGCAGTCCTCAGGTCAGGTTAGTCTTCCTAGCCCCAGCAGGGTCCTAGTCTCGTCTTACTTACTTTTGGATCATGACAGCATTTGTCTATGACCATGCCTTCAACTTATAGTTGAGTATCGTGGTGCTTTGGCCTGGCCCATTTCGATGCCAGGGTAGCTCACAGATTGCCCTGGGTTCATTCAGTCCCTCGTCGGGACCCTGCTTTTGGGGTGCTAGGAACTAAGGGCAACTGAGTCAAGAAAGCAGATGCCCAGGAGTAAATATTATTTGGAGTCAATCAACTCCCAAGTTACAGAGCATAATATTAACTGTCTTCCTGTGTCCATACAGAAAGGACATTGCTTACAATACAAGTTCAGTGTCCTGGGATGGGTGTGACCCGGTAAACCTAAGCTACTTGAGGAAGGACAAAACTGTGTTATCCTACACCCACCAAGGCAAGAGCCAGAGTACTCCTCTTGAATACTAACACCAACCACACTGCACCTGTCACATAGAAGCTCATCTGTTTCATCTACTCATTTCCTCTCAGCTTGGGTTCCATACCAGCCCCCTTCCAGTTCTCTCAAAGAACTTCCAAGGTCTTTCCTCCCCAGCTGTCTCCCAGGCTGGACAAGTTAAAGACACAGGACGAGGGAGCAAAGAGCTCAATGGGATGAGCACATACTTTGCATGTGGACACCCAGGTTTGGTCCCCAAGAGCTGCATGGTCCCAAAGCCCTGCTGGGAGCAACCCCCATGCACTGTGCTGGGAGCAGACCCTTAGCAACACTTGGTGTGCCCCCAAACAAAACAAAGCATAACAGTTTCTCTCCAGTTCCTCCTTTCCCTCTGCATCCTTGCCAGGGCCTGGCCTCAGCTCACCAAATGTGGATCTGAGGCCCTGCCCCTCCACTCCTCCCACACACCGCAACCTGCCCGCACACAGTATCAAGTGTCAACCCTTCACCTGACCCAAGCACTTCATGACATTGTGAACATTCTGAAAAATCAGTGTGCAGGAAAGGAATTGCAGTGAATAGCACCAAACTGCAGCCTTTCTTCCCGTCTTTGGTATGTTATAGCAAAATTCAAAAACTCCTTCACATCTTGCACAGAGCTGTTCCACCCACACCCAGACCTCCACTGGGATCTCTGCTTCAGGCTTAAAAGCTTATCAAAATATTTTTCCCAGCAAAGACAGCTTCCCCTTTCTAGGGGAATTAGGTGAATACAATTTTCTTTTCCATTTTCTAAGTCTACATATTTATTCAGCTTATCTCACTGCTGGTGTGTAGAAACAAAGTCTGGCTTCTCTCTTCTCCATGCACATCCCAGGATGACTCCACCTATTTCTCCTTTTTTTTTTTTTAAATGTAGGAGTACTGCTATTTATTCAGTCAATGATTAAGCTGACTGAATTGGGCATGAACTCCACATTACTTTTTTAAAAAAATTTTTAATTGAATATCCATGAGATAGACCATTACAAAGCTGTTCATAATTGGGTTTCAGTCATACAATGATCCAGCACCCACCCCTCCACCAGTGTACGTTTCCCACCACCAATGTCCCTGTTTTCCCTCCCACCATCCCCCAACACCCCAACCTCCCACCCCCAGCCTCCTTCTAGGGGGAAGTACCTTCCTTCTTGCTCTCTCTCTGCTTTTCCTTTTCTGTCACTGTCACTGTCACTGTCCTCCCGTTCTTCATTGATTTGCTGGAGAGGGCCCAGTAATGTCTCCATTGTGACACTTGTTACTGTGTTTGGCATATCAAATACATCACCGGGAGCTTGCCAGGCTTTGCCGTGCAGGCAGGATACTCTTGGTAGCTTGCCGGGCTCTCTGAGAGGGGTGGAGGAATCGAACTCGGGTCAGCCATGTTGACTACGTGCAAGGCAAATGCCCTACCCACTGTGCTATCACTCCAGCCCTATGGTTTGCAATACAGGAACTCCACCTCTTTCATGGTTAACTCACTTCTGACCAGGTAATACAGAGGGTCCTGTGGTCAAATTCTCCTGTGCTTCCTGGTTATGGGGATGATGCTTCTTTCTGAGTGTGAATGAGTGAGTGAGTGTGTGTGTGTGTGTGTGTGTGTGTGTGTGTGTGTGTGTGTGTTTGCTCCTCTGGAGACACACTCTTGGTGGAGGTGCAGAGGGAAAAACATGGATGAATAGGAAGGAGCAGAGAAAAGGAAATATTATGTGCAGTAAGATGAAAGATTCATAAGGCAGAAGCAACCCCCCACCTCCCCGCCGCCCCGGGATTTGCCAGGAATATGCAGTTATGTGTCCAGGTCAGTTCTGCCCCCAGCCCTGGACCGAACTCCCACCCATAACTAAGGAAGTTCCTTGGGACTGGGTGGGCATTCACAACCTGGAGTTTTGTCTCCACTGCACCCTCACCTGTAACTCTATTAACTATTACAGCACCACAGCAACCCGAAGAGAAGAAAGCCAGGAACCCCTAGGTAAATCAGCCGAGCTTACTCGCAAGAAGTCAAGTGAGTTCTTCCCTGGAACTGGAAGAAGGTCTCAAGAATCAAGACACTGCCCATGGGCTGGAGCAATAGTACAGCAAGCAGGGCACTTTCCAGGCCTACAGCCAACCCAGACTCCATCTTCGGCACCCCATATGGTCCCCCAAGCCTCAACGGGAGTGATACCTGAGCGCAGAGTCAGGAGTAATCCCTGAGCACTGTCAGCTGAGTCTCCTGTCCCCTTCCCGAAAAGAATCAAGATACTCTCTAGTTCCCACCTCTATCTCTTATCCAGTGACTCACAAGCTTCAGGGTTTCTGAATCTCACCTGGAACCTGTCCTCAGTGCAGATGTCAGCAGGTGTCTATAAACAGACAATGGGCATTGTGAAGTCGTTCAAAAACTTTCTCCATCAGTCCCCTCCCAAACTGTACATTTTTAATAAACTGCGAGTGTTTATGTATATCTGTTTTGGGGCACACCAGGTAGTGCTTAAGGATTACTCCTGATTCTGCCCTGAGAGATCATTTCTAGCAGAATTTAGGAAACCATCTGGGGCGCCGGAGATTGTACCTGAGTCAGTCGTATGTAAGGCAAGAGCCTTACTTGCTCTACCACCTCTCCAGTCCCAAGAAGTGGGTTTTTTTTTTCTTTTTGGGTCACACCCGGTGATGCACAGGAGTTACTCCTGGTTCATGCACTCAGGAATTACTCCTGGTGGTGCTCGGGGGACCATATGGGATGCTGGGAATTGAACCTAGGTCGGCTGCGTGCAAGGCAAACGCTCTACCCACTGTGCTATTGCTCCAGCCCCAAGAAGTGTTTGTTTTTAACTTTTCCTGTCTCACTGCTGAAACCTATACTTACTCACCTGTGAGTTTCAGAAGAAAGGCGCGGTGGCACTGGGACCCAAGCATTCAGTGGCTGAGAACTGTTCCCCTGGTTGGCCCACGGCGATGGACAGACGAAGGACTGGGTGAACAGAGAATCAGGGACACAGGCTGGCCGGCAGTCAGTTTATCTCGCTCTTCTCCCCACCACAGTCTGATCTCTCCCCTTACAGCACAATTGTAGTCGTCATTTTGGTCGCAGTCCCAGTCATCAGGGTTCCACCATCCTAGTCTCCTCGTAGACCTCAAAGTCCTCAACTTCTAGTACTTACCTTTATCATAGTCCCGTCTTTCCCCTTACAGCAGTTATATAGAAATCGTGAAGGGTGGGGGTACACATAGGTGGGGCTGAACATTGTCCTAACACCAGAGGCAAAGCCACTCCTTCAGGGGAAATTCTAGGAGATTAACTCAAGGACAAAATCTCATCTGAAGGTTCAGCACTCCAGATTACTAGGAGATCCACTCAAGGGCGGGGTTCCATCCTGGGTGTATTGCTTCCTCCTTTCCTCGGCTAGAAATCCATTTAAACAATCATAGTAAATTTACTTCTTATAACATTTCTAGTCATTTTGTATAAACACAGAGATATATTAAGCTTAAAGTTTGGCTCTTCCTGGGGATATCTTGCTATATATCTCAGACTAAAGCCCTCTTTCCTAATCCCAGAAGGGTTCTTGTTCAGTTACTTCTCTTTGGGTCATGACAGAGTTTGGTTTCATGAACACGCTCTTAACTTATTATACTTATAGTGCTTAGCTTGTCCCTTTTCAATGCCAAGGTAGCTTAAAGCTTGCCCGGGGTCCACCCAGTGCCTTTGTCAACCCTATTTTTGGAGTCCTAGGAACTAAGGACCACTGTGGCTTACTTAAGTCAAATAGATATGGATGCCCAGGAGTAACTATTATTTTGGAGTCAATAAACAAACTGACTGTTACAAATCACAGCATGAACTGTCTTCCTGTGTCTATACAA